GTGATGGACTGAACTGTGGTTCCCATAGGTGTTGTGACTCGGATCGTATTCGGGTCACTACCAGTTCCACACTCGATTCTGTAGCCGGGAGGCAAGAACGTGTTGAAGCCCTGGATGAGGTTGGGGTGCCCCGCGAAGAGCTCTGAAACTCGGTTGATGACACCAGGGGTGTCAATTCTGTTGCCTGTCAGTCTTTGGGCGCACCGCAATATCTCTCCGTGTTACTTACGCTTGGCTCTTAAAGTCCTTCATGATATCTAGAAATCGATTGTATACATCTGCTTGATCGTGGAACTGCACTTTAACTTGATCGAGGTAGGTCAAAGCATCCTGCGATAGGCACATGTCAGCATCTTGATCCTGTAGTGAATACGTCGTCTTTCCAAGTGGCACGGTGAATTGACAAGTGGCAGCCAAGTTCCACGTGAGGCAACGCGGGTTAGACCGTGAAGTCACCCAGCCGCTTCGAAGAGCAAGCCGAAGACAAATTGGTCCAGACCATGCAATGCCAAAGCAGTCAAGATGGTCATTTCCCGAATACTCCAGTTGCCTTTTGAGAACAGTGGAAATATGATATGAACCATAAACCCAATCCGGGTCCTGCAAGACGGCGACGCTCTTCACGCGACGATTGCTTATTGCTGCAACGCAAGAACTGACAAGAGAGTCTCAACTTACGTTCAAAATTGGCTGCTGTCCTTGAGCAAGTCCGCCGCCAGGACCAGGACCACCTTGCGCTTGATTTGGTGGAGGCTGGGCTCCAGGGTTGTTGTTATTGGCGCCGCCTCCCCCGCCACCACCACCACCACCTCCCCCGAATGGCGCTTGTTGCAATGCTTGTGAGACTTCGCGTTGCTGGAGAGGTCCTCCAAATATGGGAGGAGGGCCGCCAGGAGCGCCAGGATGCGCATTCGGCGGATTTGTCGGATGAGAGATGGGCGCAAACATTTGGTGCTGCGCGGGGCCGTTATTGGGGCCGCCGTGCTGGGGAGGTCTGGCCGGGTCGGCCTGGAGCGGACCGCCAAAGTTGGCGGGAGGCCCTGAAGGCGCTCCAAGAGGCATTGGAGGGGCGGCAGAGCCGTGGTTTGCGAGGAGGCCACCAGGGCTGTGGATGGCACCAGAGATCCTCGACGCGACCGGCTGGTGGATGGGTATTGATCCCGCGTTACTGTGATGTGGTTGTGCCGGTGGGAAGCCCTCCCTTCGCCGTCTGTCGTCTTGTTCTCGCTCTCTCCTCTCTAGATCGTCGGTTTCCTGGGCCATGCGGCGGCGATTGTCAGCCTCGAAGGCCTCGGCGTCATCCATGTTCTTTGCGCTCATCGTCGACAAATCGCCCGCCTGTAGTAACAAAGTCAGAATAATGGTCTTCGCGTTACGTTCAGATGTGTTGAGGAATAGAACGGTTCAGATCGGTTGCGATGGTGCAAGATTGAGGATCGCGCCAACTCTCTAGCGAGGATGTGGTCTTCAGGGGATCTCGAA